ACGATTCAGATGCACATGAAATTGATACGAGTACAAACAAATATAAACTGATGGAAAAAAGTTTAACAAAACTTAGATAATGTTGAGGAGAAACTCCCAATAATTGGAAGTGTTCGACTCTTTCACAAAAATTTTCTTCGTTGTGATGGATTTTGAGAAAAAATTGGTTTTACGCAGTAGTGACTACTTTTCAGGAAGAAAGCCAACTAGAATACCTGCCCGCCAGGCATAAATGCTGTCGCGAGTTGATCAAAACTGAAGAAGCGGCAGTGTAATATGATTTTTAGAAGCTTTATTTGCACAAATTTTCATGAGTTAGAATCAGATTGAAACGAGTTTGTAAGTGTAAACTAATTCAAATTGGTATCAGCTGATAGTCCGAATTCAACGTGATCGGCAATTAGTTATTTATTGTTTGGCATCGGAACAATTATTTATAGCTTTTGAACTAGAGGTATTCAATGAATCGTATTTTCTTTTCTTTATTGTAACAGATACAAAAAGCAAAGATTAGCTTCTGAAAAAACCTGTAAATTAAATCTTTGTTTTTTGAAGTAAACATAAATAATTGTTCGCCTGTATAAAAAGTAAATGTTATATTAATTTTGAAGAAAATAGAGAGAAGGAACGATTCATAATTTACAAGATGAATGATCAACATCTGGGTCTATAGTCGGATTCGAGTCTCTGTAATTTCGCCAACTGTATATTCGTCACTGACGAATTACTAGTATAACATTCGCCAATAAATAAAATATTTTTGTATTACTGTGTTCACCAATTGGCGAACTTCATTACGAAATTCGCCAAATTGGCGAATTACTACTGTGACATTCGCCAATTGTAATCTTTGAAAGTGCGACTTAAGTTTAGTATTGTGAAATCATTTTTATTTCAAATAAAGAAAGAACTGTAGTAGCTATATGGAAAAAGGTTGAATAAGCTCATGTTTTCGTAATTAATGATCTTGTTCAATCGTCCCGATCTTCAGGGTGTGGGTGTGGGTGTGGGTACGATGAGAAGATCAACACCCACATCACACACCCACAGAGGGCATCGTGTTCCGGTTCAATGCTATGCGTCCGAAACAACCCAAAGCACATACCGACCAAGTAGAACACAGAAAAAATTTATTTAATTTTTATTGATATGCTATTACACCTGAACTAATTAAGTTTATGTAGTAAAAATATCAAGTATTATACTTGAGTTACAATTAAACTCATTCATATTGGCGAATTACTAGTGTGACATTCCCCAATAAATAAAATATTTCCGTATTACTGTGTTCGCCAATTGCCGAATTACCAGTTGATATTCGCCAATTGGCAAAAACTACAATTGGCGAAATGTGGAATTGGCGATAAGATTTTACCCCATCGGATTTATATATTTCGTTCTTCTATTTGATTCTTTTTTCATTTTCTATCAAGACCTATAGTTAGATATATGAATACATTCTTTTTTCTTACTAGTAATTCATTGTTTGCATCCTTTTTCTCGTTATATATAAAGATGTTTCTGTATCATCTAAGATGTTGACAACAAAATGGTCAACGAGCAATAAGTTTCCGATACTAAATTAGTTTTAAAATCAAATAAAATTATATTAAAACACATTTACGACAAAACGCAAATGGTAAGTGTGACAATGTTGGTCAAGACGAAGGTGTTAAAACACCGGACCAAGAAGTTCCAATAGCAAGGGAAAAAAACTAAGTAATACGCAACAATCATTTTCACTGAAAGCCATCCATCCCACAAGTTGTTACCAACATTTATTCTGAGCTTAAACGTTCGAGGGTAACGAAAAGAAAATCAGTGTATTTCTAATCATAACTAATACGTAACTGTACTAAGTAGATTTTATCTGGATTGAGACGATTCATTTGTCAAACTAACCTTTTGGAAAAGAAGAAACTAATTATATTTATAATTTGTTTTAGATTATTTTAATTAAATCTTTGAAATGACAATGCATGTTTTTCGGTGTATGCTCATACAATTTTCAATTTGATGTTGGTAGAATCGTTGATTTTCCATTCTAAACATTTCAAATTGTTTTTTATACATTCATCAGTCTTTGTGTCATGACATCTATATATATATATATGTATTGTTAATCTCTACTTTTTTCTTTCTTTTATGTTACTTATATAAATATGCATGAGATATTATGTGCCGGTAGTGTGATTCTTTAAGTTTAGACAATCAGCAAACGTTTATGTTCTACATAAGATAGTCAAAATTTTCTGCACCTTTCAAGTTATTTATTCATACAGAAAACATTTTGCTAATATTTTTACAGTAAATGTTCGAAGTAGTCCCTGTAATGTTGAGCACAAAGTCTCATCCTTTCAAACTACTTCTAGAATATCTTTTGATACTTTTGAATAAGTATTGCATTGACTTCCTTCGTTATTGCTGTAGCTAACCTAGTATCATGTTGGTATCTATGAAGTCTACGTTTCAGATAATCTAACCACGAAATATCTGAAAGAGGAAAGACAGTTGTGCAAGGTGAACGAATCAAAGCTTAGATATTTCCTCTTGAAGAGAATTAAAATTGAGAAAAATATCTTGCATATGTATTTGGGGTTCCGAAATTTCGCCAATAAGACTTTCGCCAATACATTCTGTGGAGTTTCGTCAATTGGGGAAAGTCCGCCGTACTTTCCCCAATTGACAAAAGTACAGTTAACTTTCAACAATTTTATTGCAAATTAGATGTCGACTAAAAAAAGATTTTTCTCGCCTACATCAATGAGTGTAAACTATGATATTTATATTTTAATAACATTAATTTCAGTGCTGACATATATCCTAAATTAATACTGTTCCGTGATAACTGAGATAGTCCACCTCACTTTCGCCAATTGGCAAAAGTCCACCATACTTTCTCCAATATACGCTCTGGACTTTTGCCATTGGCGAAAGTCGTATTGGCGAACATCCCGCCACCCATGTATTTGTGCATTTCTATAATGCAAATTTATCCTATGTTTTATTGATGATGTTTTTGTTATGTAAATGGTTGACTAATATCTTCTAGTGTTCATCACATTAGTTTATGTAATAACTAAGTCGAAGATGATAGTCATCTAATCAATATTAATATATGGATAATCATTCACTGGATCTTTAATAGCATAGACATTTTGTTGAGTAATGACGGTGGTTGAACGGTTATTTCGAGGATAATCCTTCAACGACTTCGAACCCCTTGAGAAGCAATGAACCTAATGATCAACTGTACTAAATGAAAGAACACTTTGACTACCAGCAGGAATTAATTCATCATGGATTTGTGTAGCTGCTAAACAAAATAACAAACGAGTTTTTATATATGAGCGTATGTGCTGTTTTCTCATCTGCAAACAGAGGTGACTAAAAAATCTTCTAAGAGTTTCCCGTAACAAACACTTGTGAAACTCGTGTTGGCGGTTTAATACACTACAGATGTCGCTATCAGAATATGCCAATATAAAAGACAAAAACAGTGAAGACGAAACTTCAGAGAGCTGTTTGCAGAAATTTTTGACTACCCTATGTACATTATTTGAACCTATGATTTGCCATTAAAACAATATACTAAGAGTAGAACATATCACCGGTTGATTGGCGAAACATGGATTGATATACTGAACGTATAATCATCGACTGTTTTTTTTTCTTTATTTTGCCACGTATCATTTGTACATTTCATGGTTTATTAGTTTCTTATTGGTATAATATGCACTGCTTTTCATAAAAAATGTTGATTCTTTTTGTGAAAAAATTTATTACATAAAATGTTGATTAAGATGTAAATTATTTTATATGCTGATGACAAACTGCCAAAAGCAAAATATTTATGAAGACACAATGGGACGAAAAGGTTAGGGCACTTTTTATTTTTCGCTTTGCTTCATGAAAAGCTACTTACAATAAACATCCAAATAATAATTTCGATAGCGCTCGGAACGGCCTACAAATATATTGTATCAAAAACATCAATAATGACCGGGTTCAGTTTTTATCCAAGAAATCGATTTTATTCAGCGGAGAAAAATTCATATAACATTGTTATTTTATCAATGTAGGCGTGGATGTGGATGTCGTCTTAATTTATAGTCACACCCACGTCGGACTGGTAGGGCAATGAAAGCAGGTATTACGCACAATAATGATGAGGATATGGCTGTGGATGTCCTAATCTATTCACTTACACCCACACCCACCCGCAGCCATGGCCACAGCCACACCCTTTTCTTTTTTCATGTTTTCCCGAACGCGTATTCCAGAATTTTAGAGCATGTGCAGCTGCATCGCTCGTTTTTTTAATTAAGTTTTATTATTATTATATAAAAAACACTTCTACATATTAATAGATGACCAATTTTTGAGTTTTTAAGATATCCAACTCGCCATCCTTTTTCTTCGCATTAAACGTAAGAACTTTAAAAAGAAGCCTCTGTCAACCACTACATACTGGCATGCTCTTTCAAATAAAATAAAATTTGTTAGCATAGCTCCATCTGAAGCTAAAATGTGGAACTCACATGTATTCTTTATCCTCATGATCCAAGTACTAGATATGTTAAGTAAAAATCTCTAGCAAACTGTAGTTCAACGCCTGTTCCCATTGATAAGAAATCTGGACAAGAAGTCTGATAGTTGTTATCTTTGTTTGCGATGAAAATATGCCTGAGGCATTCTCCCCCTCCCCACCCACCCATCGTCTATAGTATGAAGGCATGGAAGAGCCACAAAACCTCAACTTAAAACTTACACTCACTATATTTTTCTTCGAAATGCATAATGCGAGTTCCACAAAAGTATAGAATCATCTATTGTAATGAGAAATTGAATTCTCTAGACAAACAGTTATAAGAGAAATAATCAACCAATGAATCAATGCTTCAAACTTACAATCTAACATTATATTCGGATAACTTGGTCGACGTTAATCGTTATGCATTTGTCATTTGTTCATCGCTAACATGTATAATAAACTTTTCTTATGGTGTAAATACTACATCATAACTGAAACAATGTATGCAACGATAATCATGTTCATTAAACCATGATGGAACTAATTGTTCCATTGTATCAATAACTTTTTTATGTGGAACAACAAGTTTAGGTATTTTATCCATGTCATAATGATTATATTCAACAATAGCTCGTGCTAAATTAATATTTCTTAAATAAATCTTTTGGTAATATTGATTCATTTGGCGTATTTGATAGATCTATTATTGTTGAAGAATTTTGTGCAACAATTGGTGGTATTGAACGATAGACATTTTAGCTTTATTTGCTACTCTATTCATGAATGATTTTTGAGCATAATGAGAAAGAATAGATAATTGAGAAAAAAAAATAAGTTTTTTATGGATTTCGAATTGATTTAAATCGACGTTGTTGTCGATTAATAGATAATGATGAGTAAGGACTTGTTAATGTCTGTGAAGGGATGACATTTTAATGAAGATGAAACTGTGCACTGTCAATAGATCATTCTTTCATGTGAAGACATACTTTTGGATATGTGTAGTTAGGATAGAGAAGCTTTATTGGTTGTTTAATTGACGAGAACAACAAAGCAAACGGCATGGCATTGATACTATTGATGTGTCGGATGTGAATGAATTAGAGAATATACTTAAGGTATACCAAAAGTAGTGGTAGTGGCACTATGCTACATTATAGACGGACTTGACAAAGGTTTCTCTCTATGTACACTGATAGTCTAAGCAATTCTCTTTAATATTTCAACATTCTTTATTTGCTATGACAATATTAGAGTTTCAATCATAGTGGTTCACCTCAGATTTTGTTGCATAAGGAAAACATCCGCTTCTGCATATAAGTCCGTACTGTAGTATATTTTATTTTCGGTAGCCAAGCTACACCCCTCAGAACAGTCGAAAAAGGACGTTTTTGTGAAGGTCAAGATATTTAAGATGAAGCACGATTTAGTGTATCTGTCATCGAACAACATCCATTCATTCCTTTTGCTAATGATGATCCTCATATCTACAATTGACGACTTGTCAAGTACAAGCAGATCTAAATCATGGTACCATCAAATGAAAAATCTCCGATCGTTGTTAACTTAAAAACGTTGCGATTAGCTAAATATCATAAAAGCTAGTCTTGAGAATTCTCATAAAAGATATTGTGTGAACTACAGGTCTGGTAGGTCGTTTTCGTCTTTAGTGTCTTTTTGACCCTTACGAAACTATTCATATGATCGTTCAACTGTTTTGAGAAGTGAAGCCCGTACGTCGAAAACAAAATACAGTTTATCATGAATAACTTTCGCTTGAATGTATAGTACAGTTCAGCTTTGGTCAAAATTCTCCTATTATTACACTTGCTGAAAAATTATACAACTGTAGATCACTGTTTGGGCTATCCGTATATACAGTAAGTTTCAAAATTATTCAACTGCATAATAGATAATTTTATATTCTTTTGTATATATCTCAAAAACTAGATAAGGTAGAATCATCTTGTTTTCGCCAGAATACAACCTATAGTCTTTAGTATATTAGTGAAAATTTTCAAATCAATCCATTGATCTGTTTAGTTGCTATTGACGATACAATCATACCATGCCGTTTTTCATGCTTCCAAAAGCACCCAACTACTCATTTTGCAAACTGTTGTACACCTGTTCTGAAACGAAATTGTTGTTATGATACATGAGTCAGTAGAGCAATTTCTGCTCTACGTAATTTCTAGAATGTTTAGTTAATTTTATTATTCAATATAACATTAACAAAAGTGCAAGAGGCTGCATTAGATATTCTATTTGAATAGACACTTCGTGTTGGAAGATTGTTTTAGTCGTCTTCTATGCATACATCAATCACGGATAGATGTTCTTGTACTGTACTATTCATGCATCGAAGAAGGTAAAAGTTATTTTAACAGTGTGGATTTGTAGAGAATCTTTGTTTCGTGGGAAATTCTTATATATGCAATCAAAATAAATTATATCACTCAAGTTATATACCTTTGTTAAGCTATGAATAGTAAAAGTAAAAAGCTTACCATAGCTCCATACAGGCAGACGATCAAAATTTAGAACCACGCACTATATTAAGCTTCATTTGATACATTCTTGTTTAGTAACATACATATCCACCATCTTGCTAGGATTGAAATAAGCTTTTTGGGTGTGTAAGTGTGCATGATGAAAACACGTTCATCCTCGCACACCCACACCCCTTGTGATGCTATTTGTAAGTAACCAGAACGTCCTCGAAAAAATTACAAAAGAGATCGATATCATTTAAATCTCGATACTTTCACTTCGGGTTGGAACAATTATTTTGTGAGTTTCCGTTCTTGAGATCATTACGACACAAACTGGCAACTTTTGATGAGTGTATCGAGAACAAAAAAAGAAAACTTGCGGAAGACTATATATGTGTTGTGCTTCGCACCGAATTAAAAACTCTCGAACGATTCCTATACAGTGCTTCGTACTGTAAATGCAGTCATATAGAAGGATTGGCACCAGTCGATTTGTATAATTAATAGTCGTTTTGATGGAGCATTTTTCTCTTGCTTTCTGAATAGATTTTTGAGCCAAACTGCACTATTGTAAACTTATTTTTTGTTACATATCTTCGCTTGTACAAACAAAAATGATAATAGAGCTTGTCTGACTAGCAAATATGTTTGTTCATTCGTCATTCTAATTTTATACTGTTGATTTGTGAAATAATTACGTACTCTACATTTGTAACTCGCTCGAGTCGTCTCGAGTTGGCACTTAGGATCGAAAGTGTGCGTGTCAAACCTTGTTCTTGTTCATACTTTCAAGTTTTTAAGCATTGATCGCAGAAGTGAGGGTATACACGCCCTCTCCTTCCTCCCAATGATTGAAAATTATCCATTACTATTCAGCAAGATTATTTTGAAACGTTCTCGAGATTTTTGTGTCACATATTCGAAATGACAAAACAAATATCTTCTTTACAATCAATACAAAATGTTAATGCCTGATCATATCTTTATTTGCAAAACTAATATCAACAACCAAACAAAATCTATCTGTGTGTCAAAATTTTATCTTTTTCTCTCTTTTCTTTCCAAACGCTTAGTTTTTTCTGTGTGTATTTCTAAAAGACAAAATAAGAGAGCAATGCAGGAATATCCATATACGCACATGAAAGAGAGAACGAACAAGAGAACGTCGCAGAAATCAAATATAACAACAATAACAAAAGTAATAATAAACAGAAATAAACATGTTTTCTTTTATAAAGTTGTTTATCTTTGTTGATTTTAAAGAAAAAATAATAATAACAATAAAAAAATTTCTTTTCATAATTGATAGATGACTTTATTGCTGCCAGCTGTACTTTTCTTTCTATTTATAAGACTAGTTGTTGTATTTGTTTCTTGATTATGAAGCTATTTAAAAATTAAAGACAAACAAGACTAGTTTTATTTTATCAATATATTTTATATTCTTACCTCGAATAAAATATGAATTTGTCGTGGAATATTGATTAATTCACGCATACGTCGTCTGAAGAAAAAAATTGTTTATCTTTCTCAATTAATTTCAACTTTTGATTAATATACCCTATACGAAATATAAGTTGTTGATCATGATGTACTGATGTCCAAAGTGCAATACGATCACAGCTTTTTCGTGCTGACAAAACAACACCATTTACATAATTTGTGTCTTGTGCATATTGACCACCAATGAGAGCCAACATCTATTCAAATTTTCAAGAAAAGTAAGGTTTTTTTTTACTTAAGATACAAAATAAACAATTAGAGAGAAACTTACTGAAGCAAGCCAACAAACATCAAGATTCAAATAGACCTGTTCTGGTTTCGAAAAATAAAGAACCCAACGACCTCCACTAGAATTTTGTGGATCTTCCCAACAAGGTAAAATAGAACTTTTAAATAACATATAATCACAACTTGGTGGTAAACGTGAAGCAACACGAAGATGATTAAAAAGGCTAAAAAAGAGAAAGAAAATTTCATATTAAATGACAAAAAAAAAACAAATGTACAGAATAAGACGTTTTAATTATCAAAATAAAGGTTTATTCATTAATGCCATCAAATGAGGTAAATTAAACATATGATTTCTATGAAGCTTCCCATTGGTGAAGATAATCGAATTCGATATTATAGATATTCTTTTCTAGTAAACTAATCAGAAAAGCAGTAGCTACAACGATTTATTTTTTTATGATATATTGGCTTTCTTAAAACCATCAAAATTATTCTTTGATAGTATAGAGCAATGTCGAATAAATCCCAGAAAAGTCGTTAATCATGAAGAATGATGCTTAGTAACAAAATTTTCTCGAATTTCTGCACATGAATGAATTATCTCAGGTGCATATACCTCGCACCTACGTGAGACCTGATATTTACTTCTATTATAACAAAAATCGACGATTTCTAATGATAAACTGAAATTAATTAATGATTCTGTCAAATTGTAATATTTTCTTTCATTATTAGTTTTAGTCAGGTTTATCTGGAACTTTACATAGAAAGAATCGATGCACTATAAATTAAACTGCTATTTTAAACATAGTCGCACATAACGACCACTTCACTCAAACAGACTCATATACCATAGAGTAGCGGATGACTCAATCCTCTCCAAAAACATTTGGACTTCTTCTAGAAATGAGACGATTCTATTGTTATAGATAAAGTAAATACCTGCTTGTCAGCTTCAAATGGGGGCTACGTTCTCTGTATACATTTTTTTCTGGCTCTGCCACTATGATAATCGTTCATTTGAATTCTCTTGATCTAATCATTTTTTTTTCTCATGTCCAAAAAGTCGAATTTTTATTTTTACCAAAGTAAACCATTGATAACGTAAAATTCATTCGAAGTTATTCTATTAACTTACGCCCAAAATTCTTCGACATAACCAAATGTTGCTAATTTCATTAAATTATCTTGCCAATCTTTTCCTTGTTGATTTTTTAAATACCAAAACGACCATTGATGTTCAAGCGGATGTATCAATTCAAGTTGCTTATTCATTAAAATAAGTGGTACTGGTGATTCATTTGTTTCTAATGTTGAACCATTTGATGATGATGATGATAATAAATGTGATTCATCTTTACGTTCACCATTATTCAATAATTTTTTTTCAAGTAAATTTTTTATATTTATTGGTTTAATAGTATTTAATTGAATTTGTTCAACTAAAATTTAAAAAAAAAAATAATTTTTTTTGTCTATTTAAATAAAGATAATTATTTTACACACATTTATCGTTTATTTGAATAATATTTTCTTTGATATCATCAAGTAATTCATTAACAATATTGGTTGTTGATTCTGTAATAAGATTTGTCATTTTATTTTTATCTACTATTTCTTTTTACAATCTATTTAACTACAAAGGTTCGACTTATGTATGTATGTATATAAAAGAAAGTTTTAACTAACTAGAAGAATAATGATCATACCTCGAATCTATGTGTGATTCATATCCTGATGATACCGCGCATGTTATTTATTTAAATAAAAATAAAAATAAATAATTATTTCAATAAAAAATTTAAAAGATATTGAAATCTAATTTCATTTTTATTTCAAATAGAAAGAAATGAAAAATGCATTGCTGCATTATGTTATTCAATTGAAAAGGTATGCTATTGGATGATTCGCACGTGGATGATTATTTTTTTGATTTTAATAATTTTTATTTCAAATATTATATTAAAATGTATCGTTATTATATAAATTGTAAAAATTGGAAACCAACACGTGATGAATGGATTTATGCGACACGTTGTATTACAAAAATTGAAGTTGAACGTATTGATCAATTTTTATTTCAACGTGATGCAAAATTTGCTCTTTGTGGACAATTATTAATACGTTATCTTTTATCAAAAGCATTTCAACGTAAAAGTTCATCATTTCAAATTCAACGTAGTGAACGTGGACGTCCATTTATTGAGTCAACACCGAAATTTGATTTTAATCTTTCACATCATAATCAATTAGTTTGTATTGCTGGAACATTTGATGGACAAATTGGTTGCGATACAATGGAATATAGAATAAATAGTGAACCAAAAGAATCTATTGAATCATTAACAAATTTACTTCGAGGAGAATTTACAAAAAATGAATATGATTTTATATTAAATAAAAGTAAAGATGAAAAAATACGTTTTTGTCATTTTTATCGTTTATGGGGTTTAAAAGAAAGTTACGTTAAATGGTTAGGTTATGGTATTGGTTTTAAATTATCAAGATTAAATTTTTGTATAGAAACAGATAATTTTGATGAAAATAATTCTCAACAAGTTTTATCTGATACTAAATTAGAAATAGATAATAAATTAATTGATGAAAAACTTCGTTTTGATGAACAAATTATTTATTTACAAGATAATGAGCAACAAATTATAACATTATGTTTATCAAATAGAAATACTTGTCAACCATTTATTGAATTAACTATCGATGATATACTTAAAGATTGTACACCATTAGATGATAATGAACATGATGAAGAAAAATGGTGGCATAGTTTTCAAAGAAAAAAATTACAATAAATATTCAATGTAAGTTATCAATGTTAAGATTAATACAAAGGTTTCTTACTTCATGAGGTGACATTAGGGAATATTTTATATTGAAATTCAAATTATATTTACGACTTTGTCACGTCTTGTATAAAGAAATGACCTTCGGTTGACGAATAGTTAAATATTTACTAAAAAGTTTTGAAAGTTTCAAAGAAAACAAACTTATCTTTTTTGGAGATACTCAACTTTTAAATGGATTTGACTATTGTGTTCTTCTGTATTAAGCTGCTCTCTTTTAGAAATCGAATATCTCGAGAAAGACATATTTGCTTTCTTGGAAACTTGCAAAACTTTGAAATGGCTATGAGCTCTATCTATAGGTAATATTTCATGATAAAATTCTTTCATTTGATATGTTCGGAAATATCTTGCTCTGACTAAAAAATTCACTAAAACAGTCATAAATCTTCTCCAGTAGGCTATGACTAGACCAAAGATCTACTCGTATGTAGTTATAATATCAATTCGAACGGCATCATTTCGTCCTAACTATTATTACAAAGATTATTCTCTTGAAAGTTATGAAATATTTTTGTCATTTTCCTGAACATATGTATATAGTTTTATGATAACTATTTTCTAAAATTTTTATTCAGTACTTGGCTTATCAAAACTGATCTATTTATTTATATTAAAATGGTAAGAAGCTTATAAGTGTAACCAAGATAATTATATATTCACATCTAGCTATTTTCAACAGTTCTCGTCAGAATTTAAAACAATTAATCAATATTTAGTTAACAAATTATTATCTGGTAATCAATTAATGCTAAGCTTTATTTTGAAAAAATATGCCTTTCATTTTTCTATTTTGTTTTTGATTTTTCATGCTTACATGTCTAATATGTTGACTATGTCTTTTTATTAAAATATTTATTGGTTTTTCAAATCTATTGATGTTACTAATAATTCCGAAATCTCAAGTTTATAGACAATAAAAATAATCAAAATAAAATTTCTGTTCTTTTATTCAGAGACAAAAATATTTAAATAATAAAGAATTATTCTTTTAGTATCTCTGTAATATTTCGACCATCTTTTTATCTAATTGAACATTTTATTTTAGAAACTATTCATCTTTCAATTCTCGAGAACAAAATTTATTTATATTTGCTTAAATATTTGCATTAAATTGTTGTCCGATGCAAGAAAGTCTTGACATTGGATGGTCGTTTATATGTAGCTTTAGTCTAGTTTATCGATACTACAAGTCTATCTCATACACTTTAGCTTCATGATGTTAAATGGAGGTTTATTAACAAATCAATTATCTCAATATGAATAAAGAGCAGTTAGAAAAAAAAATAAACATAAATTCTTTTATTTCAAGTATTTAGTTGGATAGAAATAAGTATTTTATTTTTCTAGACAATTGAAAAAATAAATCTTTTAAAAAATAAATTCCAATGGGTAAAACGATGGTCGTAATATTTCAATTATCAAAACAAATATAATTTTCTGATGCTGAATGAATAAACCATAGGTTATATTAATTGAATAGTTAATCAATAGAACATAGATTATTGTTGAAATTATTAATCAATCCTTTCATCTTCAAATTTGGATCAATTTGAGTACGTTATTTTCAAGAGAAGTTTGTAAATACTCTGAAATTTAATAGTTTAATCTGTAATTTTCTTTCGTTGACTTAAAATATTTTCATGAGAACTTATCTCATATGTTTTTCTCTGTCTTTTTAAACTTGATATTATTTAAATATACAAAAAAGAAATATGAGTAAAAGCACAACTTTTGTAATAAAATGTATTCATTAGTTTTCTTTTCTTTTTGATAAATATTTTTCTATACAATTTGTTCTCGAGCAATGTAATGATAAGTTGAAAATGTTCGTTCAATTTTTAATCAATTTTCTAATTTCTATTCTATTAAGTAAATAAAAAATTTAATTTATCATTAATACCTCTCTAACTTGCATATTTGAGATAGTCTTGAGTATCAAAAATAGAAAAAAAAAGAATAATAATATACAAAAACAAAAGAAAACAAAACCAACCCATCAATAAAAAATATGAATATTGATAAACAGTAAAAATTTGGTAAAAGAAAGCATGATGCTCATCACAAATATGCAGCATATGATGAATATAGATAAAAAAGAAATTAAACATCGTCCGATTTTTCAAGAATATTACTTCGTCGATTCCGTTTCGGTTTTTCTATATGACTATTCTTATTCATTGATGATCTTTTTCGTCGTCGTTGTGTTTTTACATGATGATGATTCGTTGATGTCGATGATTGTAAATGTGATTTTTTTCGATGTTGTTGGTTTGCCGAGTGATGATTATTTGTTAAAATGTCTGTATTACGTTTTTGTTCATTTGAAGAAATATGAGTTATTGGTTTTGTCTTTGATATATTCTTAAACGGTTTCATCTCATAATCAGAACATAGACTAACATGTGAAATTCTATCATTATCATCATCATCATCATCTGATGAAGAAGTTTCAATCATGCTGTAATTTGTATTTGGTTTCGATGTTTTAGGTTTAGTTGTTGTTGATGATATTTGTTGAGAAATAAGTTCATTATTGGGTGTTTTTTGCGATATACCGTTAGTTTTATTATATTCCGACGTTAAGTTTTTAATAGATATTTTTTCTTCTTCTGTTTGATCTCTTTTTTCATTCGATTTTCGAGTTAATAATTTTAACTTTTGCTGATGTTTTGTTTCATCATCACTATCAATTTTAGTCTTAGTAACGTCTACTGTTGTTGTTGCAGATTTTTTAGTTTTTACTGGTTCAGTTTTTGATTCCTCTATAAATACTTCATCATCATCTTCATTCTCACTATCTGAATCTTTACTACTATTTTCATCACTTTTACTAGCATCTTTATCATATGTACGTCTAGGAACATACGAATCTAAGCTACTAGAGGAGTCATATATATCACGAGATTTGTTAGTATTAGTTGGTTTTTTTATCGGAATACCATTATCAATTAATATAGGACATTTTTTGCATGTACCATGATAAAGTAATCGCCTTAATAAAGTCCACGAATTATTTTCAAATGTAAAGAATGTGAAACATTGAAGTATAATGCTTGATATACGTAATGCAAAACATATTTTTAAACTTGTTGAATATGTATCGTTTCTTGTAATTAATTGTGTAACTGTCGTAGCCATTGATGCAAAATAAAATGGAAATGAAAGAAGTACATTTAAGAAAAGAAATATAAGACATAATAATGTCATATAACGATCGTTAGATTTTTTCACTTTGTTTCCTGGTTTACAAAAATTTAGCGTAAGAAAACTATAGAATATTGAAATAGCCATGGATTTAATAATTAATACAATTAATATAATAAATAAAACAATAAATAAAACTTTAAATACTGATGATAAACGACCATCAATTGAACACCGATAAGATGTTGAAACAAATTTATCTAAAAAATCACGAGCCATTGGTGGAGCTATATTTTTAACATTATTTTCAATTGTTTTCCAAACTTGTCCTTTTATTAACATAATTGTTGTCAAAATTGCAATAAAAATAATCCAAATAAAAAATAAAATAACTTGAATTACATAGGTTTTTGAAAATATTCTAGTACAAGCCGTTGTTGCACTGAATCGTTTTGATAATCGTTCCAGCGTAAGAAAAAATAGTGCAAAATGCATAACTGGAATTGTTATGTACATACCTAAATATTTAAAATTTGAAGATATAATCCACATAAATTGGCGTAAGCTGAAGAGTAGTCAGTCTCTCTCCCCAACAAACGATTGGGTATGGTTTAAAAAATGGCTTGGACCTCTTGTAAAATTATTACTCTAGTGGGTCTACGCCCTTTCTGAAAATATGGTCAGGGGCAGAGTCCTGATACAGAAAATCGGAGAAAAAAAGTATCTCGTATCTTCTAGAGAACTATCTACTTCGTATTAGAAAATTTCATTGAGAGTATCAAAGTACAGTTCGACCGGATTCGAATAGTTTGGACTTGACGGACTTAAATCAGGTGGGCTGAGCCGTTCCCTACGACTTTTTTCTCTGATTATGTGACCATCAAAAAGATGAGCGATAATTTTAATAGATAAAAGCGTAAATCATTGTATTTTGATGATAAAAACTTATTGCTAGTACATGCGGTAAATTCACTCTTCCGAAAGGACATTTCGAAAGTCAGGAAGGACAAATAAATAATATGTGTGCGTAATAATTATGAACTTCAGAAAGGTAAACGCTATCTACGTAGAGATGTCGCACTACCAAATCGCACGCTAGATGAAACAGTTTTTAGTTAATAAACTAGACAAATTCGAGTCAATTGAAAGCTTTCTCTATCAAACTAACAAATTTAAAATATTGACTGTCATTCGCATGCACCGACCAAGATATTTGAATTTGAAGATATTGACAGTATATATAAATAAAGTACTAGTTCATCGAGTTGCAATAAAAAAAGTATGCTTCAAATCATAAAAAAAGAAATTTTTACAATTAGAAATTTGAGTTTATTTTCTCTTATGTTTGAAAATGATGGTATCTTGCATATTTTTCGTGAAATTTCGTTTTTTATGATTTGAAACATACTTTTTCTTATACAATTTGATGAGCTCTATACAACCCTCATAAAAAAAGACTTAGTTGAATCGTAAGTATCTTATATATTCTGTAAATATCTTAAAATTCGAATATTTCGGTCTTTGCAAGCCAAGGTCAACCTATATTTTTAAATTTGTTAGTTTGACAATGAATGTTTAAACTTGACCCGAATACATCTAGTCATAATAACTAACAACAGAAACACATTCATTGTAAGCTTTCTTTAATCAAAATATCTTCATTAAGTTTATAAACGACTTTTCTTAATAAAATTTAGTAGCATCCATAAACACAATAATAATATATGAGAGCATAATCAATTTTCGCAAAGAAAATTATGTTAGATATTTGTTTGATTTCATTGAATTAATAATAAGCATTAACATCTAAATGTTGACAATGAAAACAACTAAAATAGTTTAAGTTCATATGAACTGCCTCAAAAGAAATAACTTATGTCAAATGATTTAACAAAATATCAACTCATTCACTCTGATAAAACTTACAGATAGATTTTACAATTGAAAGCAATAACGAAATATGAAGGCTCCTATTCATGAGTTTATATTGCGCTTTAAAACAATGCTATTCATTAATAGAATGTGATTAATTCATTTTCTTCTGATTTTTCTTTATATTAGAAGATTGTTAAAATCCAACATCGAAAAGCATACTCTATGTCTATGAACTTGATTTTAAGGACATATAAGACGATTTATAATGATTACTTTTTTTCTTCCATTTCTCATAGAATACTTTTTTTCTAATTCGAATTTCATTAAAAATTATGAAATTGAATTGAAAAAGAAAGAATCCATATATTAACTATTCGAGGAGTGAGTCAATAGTGTTTTAAAATAATCAATCATGGATAATAATTTCTTCTGATTCTAACTAATATTAGAGATTCGCATGTAAAAAGTTCTTAAAAAAGATAAAAAATATACAAACCATAATTAGCAAAATTACAAAATAAACTTGTCATTTGAAAATTTTGTGCTACATTTATCATTGATAATAATATATAAATAAGATAAAATAATTCACATAAAAATATATGAAAAAATATCGTTCTAACACCACCTGTTTTCGTTCCATATTTTTCAACTGATATAAACATAGTTATTATTGTTGGAATTATACATAATATTGCAATAACCCATAAACAAATAATTATTACTTCGAAATAAACATCTTCAGCTGTATCAGGACTAAATAATGAATCATAAAAACCTTTTGAAAATGTTTGATTATCATCAGATGAACGTACGCCAGGAATCAATGTTTTTGTTTTATTAATAATTTTTTCAAGACCTGTTCGATCTTTTACAACATCAGTAAAATTCTGATATTTTTCACGTAAACTATGATATGTATCATTTGGTATTAATTGTCCACGAATAGATGATGTTATATTAGGTTTAATAACATTTTTAATTTTAGATTTCCAATAAGCACGTAATGATGGTTGTGAATCCGATGACATTTAAAAAGAAATTCTCTTATTCTTTTTTCTAGACAATATTAATCTATGTAAATAGACAAAATCTTACTATTATGGCTCATGTTATCTATGTATTATCGTTTATCAAAAATGACAATGAAAGAAAAAGAAATGTACAGGTGACAAATTTTCTGAGTTAAATTTTAAAAGCACCTGTTCTGTTATTGTTATAACGAAATTTATAATCCGTAAGACTTCAATAGTCATCATAATAAGTGAAAGTCTAAAATAAATAATGAGATTTTATGTACATACGTATAAAAAAGTGACAGTAGAATAATAACTGTATTATTGATTTGATAAAAGCTTTTTCTTTTTTTGAGTTTTGAATCAAAGAAAAAATCCAAAGGTAATTCAAAGAGTTGTATAGATAAGATGTTTATAATCAATACAGATAATTACGCTTGCTTTGGATTTTACTCAAATGTTGTGTAATGCTTGACTCAGGGCTGTTTTTCTTTTCTTTCGGTCAACATCTTTCTTTTTTCCTTTTTTTTGTTGGATTTTTACATTGGTTTTAGGTTGCTGCGCATTTCTTCTCGTCATAATGCTCTCTCTCTCTTTTTTCATCTAACGAATATTTAGTTTCTTTTTACCTTGAAAATTGTTGTAGTCTACAGATGATGTATATATAAATGTACGAAAAGAAAATAATTCAAGTATTGATGCATACAAAACGATAGAAACGAGGGCATGCTCGTTTGTTTGATGATTATTTTATACGATTGAGATTCGAAAGAAAGTGTAAAGTGTGTTTCTGTCTTTTTTTTCATCATTATTCTGATGATTAAATGATCACTTGAAGGTCGAGAAATAAAAATGCATAAGTTATTTCTTGTCTCTCTTGTTTCTTTGTTCTTTATATACAATAGTTTCACTATTAAAACTAAGAAACGATTTTTCTTCTCATATCATCAATGATATCATCAATAATTTTTCTTTCATGTAGCTTAACAAATTTACAACTGTTAGTCTTTCTATGGATACATTATTTGAATTTTTTTTTTAAATGAGTAATTCTATTCGTTTAGTCATCAGAGAATGTATGAAAATGATCGGTTTTCATCTTCACATACTAACATTAAATATACAAAATTAGAACATTTAATTGTTTGAATTGATGTTTAATGCTTACATAAAAGCTTTGCAGTGGTATCAGCTGAATAAATCATTAAACAAAAATAACGATGTTGAAAAACAATGCATCATTCAACCTTTTCGATATTTTTTTCTTCGATCTACTATTAACCTATTTATATAAGACAATGATATTATCAATAAAAAGACATCTGAATAAACAATCGAATACATTTATTCGTAACATATCTATGTGTTACTATTGAGTCATGAAAATGTTCTCAATTATTACTTTTTTCTCTACGATTATTAACAGAGTGTCATTATATACATGTTCGACAAGATCAGATTTTCAAGGTTTTTATTCTTACAGTTAAATAAAAACATTCATCTTGCTATTTTCATTAATTGTATTTGTCATTGTGAATAATTCAGAAGGTCACTCACAAATACTTATGACATCATATATTGCATGTTATAGTAGTCTTTTTTTGCAATACACATACATGACAGTTTTCCTTGTCCAAAATAGAATAAAGAGAAAAGAAAAAAAAAATCATTAATGTTCTCAAATGCTTGTGTCAATTCTTCAAATTTATGTGAAATTTCAATCACAATAAACTTTTTACGTCTATGTTCTTTTTAGAAAATGAATTACATATAATATGTGAAATAGTAATCGCTATTTCATCAAAGTAAATCATCATCAGTATACGACGCACGCAATACTATTATTGACAACGACATCTAGTTATATTGACTCATACTTATATATCTCGTAAAAGAATCAGATAATCTTCTTAAAAATATAAAATTCTTTGTTATTTAATGAAAAATAATACTAAAAAAAAAAAAGAATTAATCGTTTTCATGGTATTCAATATTAAGGTTTCACCTAGACTACAATCATCTTTCATAATAATCAACTCAGATATCTGCCAGTTCAATTCATTGATGTATTGAACAATAAGAAGATTAAAATAATTTTAAGAAAATCTATTTTAGATAATTTATATTAAAATAATGTCAGTTATTATATCAAATCGTCCTAAATCACAAATTAATGTAAGATAAAATAATACTAATCTTGTTTTTTAAAGAAGTTTTTCTGATAGATTTTGGATAAACGTATACCACGAAATCCGAAATATGAAAATATTCAGGCCACGATTGACTCAGGTTTTAAATAATATTGGCTTTTTTTTCAAAAACTATTCTATTGCTTTGGTTTTCTAGGAGATAGTCTTACAAAATTTCTTAAACGACATGAAGAATTACGTACTTGTAAGTTAAGAGAATTTTATTTATTCGAAACTAAATGTCAGATGAAAAATAACAATTTTACTTCAAAATTTTTTATATAGTAATATGTTCTACAAGATTTTTTTTATAAACAAGAGGTTTGAGATGTAGCGTATTTTTAAAGTGAAAGAAAATATCGTTCTCTACATTAACCATTCAAATTACCGTATAGAGAATTGATTAAAAGCGAAACACTTATGATTTGACTTTGTTCAAGTAGTTAAATACATTGGATAAAATAATTCTAATATTATTATGAGATAAATGGAATTTTTGAATTAGAGATGGATAATTTAATTCAATTCAACTGAATTTTTGAATTGAACTAAGTGACACAACTGTGATCTCAAGAAATTTGATATATGATGTTACACAAATCGACATATAAAGAAATGGATACTGTGCATGTTTATGACTCACATTGATCGAGATGTTCGGTAATACATTAAGGCCACAAGTGGATAACCTAGATATGCATGTCATATAAATACTCAAAACTAATAGCGATAACATTGTGCAAATATGAAAGTCAAGTAGGGGACTACGTTTATGACTCAGACACTTATGGATATATAGTTAACAAAACATGATTAGAAACAAAAAAGGAACACTTTATTTGTCTCAGGTTTTAAAAACTTTTTTTTCGCGAAATTTAGTAGAAATTTCATTTTTTAAATTGATTTGAATTAATGAGTTGCTCAGCTCGGATTTGAACAAGATGAAATCAAATTTCAATATTTTAATCTGAAGATAAAATGAATTTAATCATCAAGTTTTCTCTGATGAATCTCGTTCCTTTTTATGAATGCCGTAAACAATTTACCCAAAAGACATATACAGGGTGTTTCATAAGTTTTGAGGCTTGACAAAAATTAATACATACGCAAACAAAGAGTGATCTCAGACCAAAG